CTCTGTCGAAGGGTTGCACTGCAGTAGAGAAGGGGTTAATGTGCCAATAGGTGACTCACTCACCGGTGGGGAGAGGAGGGGGCCACATTGATTTTAGCCTGATTTCTGCCTCACATTGCAGTCCCTGGGGCAGTGAGGTAATGGAGGGTCTGAGTCTAGGGCTGCATAGAGAGGAGGGGGCAGTCACCTAATAGTCCCTATGGCAGCCCCTCCAGGCTCACAGCCAAGTCTGTGGCCCTGCCGTCTCTGTAGGTCAGAGGGTTTCAGGCCTTCCTCTCCCCCTCTTAAGATCAGGTTACCTAGTTGTTTCCTCTCTTGATGCCTTCAGCTCTGTCAGTAGATAGGGTAGACTGAGAAAAGGTTTGACTGCTCCTGCTGAAGACCTTACCCAACCTGTGTAGGAGCCTAGTCTTGGTCAGTCTGAGTCTGTTCAGCCTTTACCTGCTGAGGTGTGAAGCTAAGCTTCTGCCTTTTCTAGGTTTGGCCCCAAGGCCCCTCTTGCATGATTCAAGGCCCCTCTTGCATGATTCAAGGCCTCTGCATCTCTGCCTAGGGGACCCAGATCCATCTCCCTGTGTGCCTGCTGACTTTTTTTTGGTCATGCTGGGGATCCAGCCCAGGGCTTCACACACACTTTAACCACTAAGCTACATCCCCAGTCCTTGCTTATCTTTCCAAAGGTCACCAGTCTTATCTGTATCATTGTTGGAGCATATACCTGGGCCTGTTTGGAATTCCCTGCTAGTCCACCTTGAGGTCTAGATTTGAGTAATGGCAAGAGCACTTGAGGTGGAACACAGGGATGTTAATGTCCTGGCCGCATGATCAGGTACACTTTTTTAGTCTCTGTGAGCCTAATTTTGACACTTGAACAATGGACAAAATCACTTCTGTCTTCCTATGTAGTTGTGAGGATTCAATAAACAAGATAATACAGGGCTGGGGATTTAGCTCAGTGGTTTTGCCACCTGCTGCGAAAGTGCAAGGACTCCAGTTCGATCCCCGGTACCAAAAAAAACAACCAAAAAACAAGATAATACAACAGCCAGCGCATAGCAGTCCCTTGCTCATGGCCCTCTCCTGGGGAAGGGTGTGTTGTATGTGTGGGCGAATGGGCCACGGTGCTCTGTTTGCCCCTGGCCTACACTGCTAGGGAGAGAGGGTCCTGAATGGCAGATTAAGTCAGGCTAGGTGGCTAAGTGGTGTTGGAAAGCCATTAAGGCACTGCATATCTGAGTGACTTGGTGCTGATGTGTACAGTTAGTGCCCAGGAGGGTGTGTGAGGTTGGTATGCTGGTGTCTCTGAGATTTAGGGTGTTGAGGTTGAGGGGTTCTACGTGGGAATTTAGAGGGCTGTATGAGATGGGGGGGTGTTTGGTGTGTGTAGTGGGCAGGCAGTGATTGTGCTGAGATCTGTTTGATATGGTTATTTAAAAAATGTTTTTTAAAATTTATTTCAGTGTGGAGGGCCCAGGATTTAGTTCAGTGGTTCTGCCGCCTGCTTCACAAGCACAAGGTCCCGAGTTTGATCCCTGGTACCAAAAAAAAAATTTTATTTCAGTGCTATATGGGGATTAAACCCAGGGCTTTAAGCATGTTAGGCAAACACACTGTCATCCAGCTCCAGCCCCTGATATGTTGCTTGTATGATTCATGTGGGCTGGTGGAAGTGTGAGCCATGTGTGACAGGGCATAGATAGGGTGAGAATAGTTTGCATGACTGTCGGGGAGTGAAAGACCCTGAGTGTGTGAGGTAACGCATCTATGTGAGCAGGTGTGTGGACTGTGACTTCGTGTGTGGACAGTGGGTGTAAGACGGAGACATAGGGTACCCGTGCCTTGTAAGCGATAACCCTGACCCATGTGTAAGCGATACTGGGTGTGGCATGAAAAGTGTCTGTGAGGAGTGCGTATGGCTGTGAGTTGGGAGGGCTCAGGGATGGCTTGCCCAGCCCTGCGCGGATTGTCTGTCCAGCGGCCCAGCGCGTGAGCGTGTTCCTCGCGAGGACAGGCCAAAGCACCCACTCAAACCCCGGCCTCCGCAGCACAGCGCCCCGGACCGCCCCCCTGGCTCACTGCCTTTACTGCAGTGCGCCCTCCCTGGCTCCCTCCTACCCCGGGCCCGCCCCTGGCCGGGCAGGGCCAATCGAAGCCCGCCCCGCCCAGCTCTTATTTGCATATGACTGACGTTCCCCCGGGGCGGCCAATGGGGGCGGGCGCGGCGGGGCCTGACCCGCGCGCGGCGGCGGCAGCCAATGGGCTCACGCGCGGGGGGCCGGGCTTGCGCGGAAGGCCGCGGGGGAAGCGGGGAAGGGGCGGGGGGAGGCGCCGCGGGGGGAGGGGAGCGCGTAGTAGTGGCGGGGCGGGGAGGCGGCGGTGCTTCGGCGCGGGGCTCTCGGAGCACACGGACGTACGCACGCTGGTCCATCTGCTCGCCCGGGGCCGGAGGTCGACCCGGCGCTGAGCTTCGGCCAGGGGCCTGGAAAGGCGGGGCGGCGGCGCCAACTGCCGGGGCGCGCGAGGCCAGGGCCGTTACCCGCTGAGCTTCGAGGGAGGGAGGGAGCGAGCCAGCGAGCCAGCGAGCGGAGAAGGGAGGGGGCCGCCCCCGCGCACGCGCGCCGCGCCCCGCCCCGCCCCGCCCCGCCCGCCGGACTCCTCGAGGGAGGAGGGAAAGGGAGGGGGCGGTGCCGATGGCCCCCGTGCCGCGCGCCCCGTGACGGCCCCCGCGCGCGCCGGGGGGCGGGGCGGGGCCGGCAATCGCTGACCTCCCCCGCCCCCTGGGCGGTGGGAGGCGGGCAACGCTGTGCGCAGGCGCGCCCCGACAGAGACCCCCCGCGTGGGCCAGCCTGAGGGGGGGGCGGGGGGGGCATGCGGCGACGGCCTTCGGCTCCCCCCGGGCCCAAGCAGCAACGGCCGAGGAGCTCGCTGCGGGCGGAGCGTCGTCGGCCACTAAGGAGGTGCCCACTGAGGAGGTGCGAGCCTCTACCGGGCACCCCCCGCGCCGGACCATGTACTCGGCCCACAGGCCCCTGATGCCCGCGTCTGGCGCGGCCTCCCGTGGCCTCGGCATGTTCGGTCAGTAGTGCCTGGGCCCTGGGACTCTAGGGGTCAGGATGTTGGGGTGCTAAGTGCGGTGTAACGGTCATGGGGCTGTAGTAAGATAGTGATAGATGCAGAGTAAAGGGGAAAGTTACAGAGCCCGGCTGGTCCTTTGCTTGGTGATGGCAGGTGGGAGTGTAGCGAAGTGAAGGCAGGAGTAGGGACTTCAAGGGTACAGGTGTGATATATAAAGGGATGGGATGGGGTGGGGCAGGTCCGTTGTATTGGAGGCGAGGAGTCATAAACTGGCTTTGAAGCCTAGGTTAGAATACATGCAGTCTGAGACCTGGTGGTGGAAGGTGTGGAATCGAGATAGGGAGGGGGCTCTGACTGAGTAGAGGGCTAAGAACAGGGCTCAGGAAGTGAGTGAAGCACTGTGGCTCAAAACAGACTGTGGGCTGGAGTGTTTGTAGTGTGCGCTAGTGAGAGGGAGAGACCTAGGTACCTTCAAGGTAGTACACTAGGGAGGGGACTGGACCAAAGGACTGTCCTCAGTGTCTCCTACCCCACTTTTCAGAACACAAGGAGAGCCGATGGAAAGATCTTTGTGAGAGAGGAACAGATCCAGGTCCCGGTCCCTGGGGGCTCTTTATGGTGTGGGAGGGCCCAGCAGGCTTTTGTGCCTTCGGGGATAAAGGACAGGGTTGTTACAAAGTCTTGAGTGCCCTGCAGTGCTGTTCATCCTGATCTACGTCCAATTTCCTTGAGGATTACTTTTTCTCAGAATCAGGTCTTGAGGTCAGTTGCAAACCCAGAGCTCACCCAGTCCAGGCTTCTGAAGGCATTGGGGATTGAGGGGTTACCTCAGGTCAGATTGATCTGGATCAAAGGGAGACCTGGGATGATGGAGACCAGTGCTAGGGCGTTTCCCTCCTTCCCTCATTGTCATTTGTCTTCCCCCGAGCGGGGGCCTCTCTGCTGCTCTGCTGGTTCCACTTCCCGTGGTGAGCTGGGCAGTGATAGAGGAAGCCCACTCCCAGCTTAGCCTCACCCCAGAGGTCCAGAAGCGGTGGGTCTCAGTCCAGGAGTTGCCCTATCTTTCAGCTTTGGGGGCTGAAGGTTGGTTCTGGGATGGCCCTGTGATGAGGAAAGTGTTTTCCTGTGCATAGCTTCAAGGAAACACCTGCTACTTTTGCCTTCTCTGGGCAGGGACTTGTAGCAGTTCTTTCCTTTGCCCCATTGCCTGTGCCTTTTCTTCTGAGGAGTTTACCACACCATTAACCTCTTTCTGGTTGGGGAGGCTGGACCCTGGGCTGAAGATGAGTTCAGGGGTTTAGGAGGGAAGCTGGGAGCCTCTTTGTGAGCAGTGGAGTCTCTTTATGGGGTAGAGGGGGAGAGCCATTGGTGCCATGTGGGCTCCACCCAGGAAGGGCAGATCTGCCAAGGGGAGAAAGGCAAGGAAGACCTCACACATCAGGGGAGCCATGGGTAACGAATGGAGAATTGGAGGAAGGAGAGAGAGGCCCTCAGTCTCAGGAAAGGGAGCGTGAGGCTAAGGTGAGGGACTGTCAGATGGTAACATGGGTGCTGGGAATGTGATGTGACTGCTGTGTGGGGTCTCCAGCCTGGCGGGAGTCTTGAGAGGGCCAGGAATGTGGAATGGCGGCTGAGCGTGACCTGCTTTGTGGCAGGAGCTAGTTATTTCTTTGGCCTGGTCCCTGGTGGGAGGGTTAGTTAGTAGAGGTTGCATCTGTTTTCATTTTTTATAAATCCAGAGACCTTGCAGGGAGAATTTTTCCTGAACGACATCTCGTGGATTAGCCCAAGAGGCTCTGGGGTAGGGGAAGAGGGTGTGAAAAAAGGGTGGAGCTACCTTGTCCAGAGTGGGGAAGAGTTTCAGTTGGGGTTCAGGGGCAAGCTGTCCTGCACGCTCCCGTGGCTCACTTGGCTCCCTCCCACAGTGTGGACAAATGTGGAACCTCGCTCTGTGGCCGTGTTCCCCTGGCATTCTTTAGTTCCCTTTCTGGCACCCAGCCAGCCAGACCCCTCTGTGCAGCCGAGTGAGGCCCAACAACCTGCCAGCCACCCAGTGGCCTCCAACCAGAGCAAAGGTGAGGTGGCAGGGGGCTTCGGGAAAGCATGGAGATTAGAGGGGGTTAGAGCGGCCCAGGGGCCCTCTGATGCATCTCTCTACCCCTAGAACCGGCTGAGTCAGCAGCTGTTGCTCATGAGCAGCCACAAGGAGGGACAGGGAGTGCTGACCCTGGGCGGCCCCCTGGAGCCACATGCCCTGAGAGCCCAGGTCCTGGACCTCTACATACTTTGGGAGTGCTGGAACCTGGTAAAGGTCCTCCTCCCACCACTGAGGAGGAGGTCCCTGGCCCCCCAGGAGAACCCCGGCTGGATAGTGAGACAGAGAGCGACCATGATGATGCGTGAGTCCTTCAAGACCTAGGACAGGTTGGGAGGGAAAGGGGGTGGCCAGAGACATGGTCCTCACTGTACCTGTTGCCCCCCGCAAGCTTTCTTTCCATCATGTCTCCTGAGATCCAGTTGCCTCTGCCACCTGGAAAACGTCGGACACAGTCGCTCAGTGCCCTGCCTAAGGAAAGAGATTCGTCTTCTGAGAAGGATGGACGCAGCCCCAACAAGGTACCTGCTCTTCACCAGTCCCCTGGTCTCACTGTAGGCGCCTAAGGCTGGTCCTAACTCCTGCTCTTGGCTGTGTTTACTGCAGCGGGAGAAGGACCATATCCGGCGGCCCATGAATGCCTTCATGATCTTCAGTAAGCGTCACCGAGCCCTGGTCCACCAGCGTCATCCCAACCAGGACAACCGGACCGTCAGCAAGATCCTGGGCGAGTGGTGGTATGCTCTGGGGCCCAAAGAGAAGCAGAAGTACCATGATCTGGCCTTCCAGGTAATTTCTCCTCTTTTTGATTCCTCCTCATTTCCACTGGTGGGGTGAGTGAGTGAAGGGTCGCCCTGCCCTCTCCTGCCAGGTGAAGGAGGCCCACTTCAAGGCCCACCCAGATTGGAAGTGGTGCAACAAGGACCGAAAGAAGTCCAGCTCAGAGGCCAAGCCCACGAGCCTGGGGCTGGCAGGCGGGCACAAGGAGACGCGGGAGCGGAGCATGTCGGAGACGGGCACTGCCGCCGCCCCTGGGGGTTAGTCGGCCCCTTGGCTGTCCCATCCTGCCACCTCTCTCCCTGAGAGCTGCCGGCTACCCCCTTGCTTGCTCACTCCCTGCTCTAGCAGTTCTATTTTGTCTTGCTTTTATTTGAGGATGCTTAACAATAAAGGAACTGGCAATTGCTTTATTCGAAGGAGCCAGGGAGATACAGGCAGTAAGATATCCAGACAAAAATACACTACTGTTTATTGATCACCTATACATGCCAGGTACCATCATGCTCAAAACCACACCCATTTTCAGATGAAGAAACAGGTTCAGAGAGGCAAAGTTACTTGCTTAGAGTCACACTGTAGTAAGTAGCACAGCCAGAATGTAAACTTCATCTTGGTTGGTTTCCAAGACCATCGTTGGAACTGCTGCAGCTCACAGTGCCCTGATGGGCTGCTTCTACTAAATGAGTGTCTGGGGTCCATGGCAGTGTTCTGGGGTTCTTTTGGTTTGATCCTGTGGCTATGGCTCTCCAACTCTGACCATGGGTATGTTGTTGCCTCTCTGAGATGAGACAGCTGAGGCTCAAGTAGGCCAGTGGTTAGCCAGAAAACATCACAGGCTAATTTCTAGGCTTGTGCTCACTCTCAGAAGGTCAACCTCCCAGGAACCAGGCTTGTTTCCTGCAGTCCCAGAGGGCAAGAACCAGCAGGAAGGAGATTATGGGCTGGTTGGTGGTGTCTTCCCCACCACTAGGTGGCTCAGGACTTCCATGCCTGCTTCTGCCCAGTATCTACAAATATCAGTGAGTGGTTTGGCCAGTCCAGGTGTTGGTGAGAGGCTTCATGATTCTGTGACAGCCACTCTCCCTCTGCTTTACAGTGTCCTCTGAGCTCCTGTCCGTTGCAGCCCAGACACTCTTGAGCTCAGACACCAAGGTTCCGGGGAGTGGCTCCTGTGGAGCAGAACGGCTGCACGCAGTTGGGGGACCTGGCTCAGCCCGGCCCCGAGCCTTTTCCCACAGTGGGGTACACAGCCTGGACGGTGGGGAAGTAGACAGCCAGGCACTACAAGAACTGACTCAGGTTCGGGGTGCAGGCCACCAGGGGGGTGGGCAGGGAGGGCTTGCCTGAGGCAGCAGATGTGGCTGAACCTTCCCTGCCACCTGTTCTGCAGATGGTGTCTGGCCCCACATCATACTCTGGCCCAAAGCCTTCCACCCAGTATGGCACTTCAGGCCCCTTCGCAACCCCCAGTGAGGGAGGCACCTTGGCGGCCGGTGGGCGGCCCCCACTGCTGCCCACCCGAGCCTCTCGTTCCCAGCGTGCAGCCAGTGAGGACATGACCAGTGATGAAGAACGCATGGTCATCTGTGAAGAAGAAGGGGACGATGATGTTATCGGTGAGCAGTGCAGGGCCCAGAATCCTGCTAGGGACCAGCAGGCTAAGCCATGGAGGGTGGTGAGAACCCAGGCTGCTAGGATCCTTCCATTTATTTTTGTTCATGTTTGTTTATGACTGCATGCCATCAGTTCTGGTCCTGCTGAATAAACCCAGGCCTGTTCTCCAGGGATCTGCAGGCCCTTAGGCAGGACATGAGAACTGTTAGCACAGTGGTAGATGCTGTGTCTGTGTGCTTTTAGACTCCTGTATTGTGCTCGGAACTAGCCTCCTGAATGACACTCCTGAATGAGGCAGAACTGAGACCAGAGTCCAGGTTCCAAACTGTTCCCTCCTGGGTAGTTCTGCCCTCAGCTTCTTTCCCACAATGTTCCTTCTGTTTCTCAGCTGATGAAGGTTTTGGTACCACTGATATTGATCTCAAGTGCAAGGAGCGGGTGACTGATAGTGAGAGTGGAGACAGCTCTGGGGAGGACCCAGAGGGCAACAAGGTGAGGCTTGGCCCTGGGGCACAGTGTGCTGTCCTGTCACACTCCTAGGAGGGGAGAATGTCTGCTCCTGTGTGTTTGACCTGGGGAGAGATTAAGGCCTGGAGAGAGAAAACTGCTTGGCCTGTGACAAGTAGGATCATAGCTGAATGAGTTAAAGCCTTTGGCTGTAAAGGGTGCCTGGGGGTGAGTGTCTAAATGCTTATATTTCCTTGATTAGGGTGTCTCTTTCTTCCTTCTACCCAGGGCTTTGGCCGTAAGGTGTTCTCACCTGTGATCCGTTCTTCCTTCACCCATTGCCGTCCAGCACTGGACCCTGAGCCTCCAGGGCCCCCAGATCCACCTGCAGCTGCAGCCTTTGGCAAAGGCTATGGCCCCACCCCATCTTCTTCCTCTTCCTCCTCCTCCTCCTCACTTGCTGCCTCAACCTCAGTAGCCACCTCCTTCTCACTGGGGTCTGGAACCTTCAAAGTCCAGGAGTCTGGTCAGGGCAGTGCAGCAGGCCCACTTCGGCCTCCACTCTCTGGGGCTGGAGGCCCAGCAACATCTTCCAAGGTCACTCGGTTTCTCCCAACGGATCCTGCCACCTTCCGGCGCAAGAGACCTGAAAGTGTTGGGTGCTTGGAGCCACCAGGTCCCTCAGTCATTGCGGCACCTCCCAGTGGGGGAGGAAACATCCTGCAGACACTAGTCCTGCCCCCAAACAAGGAGGAGCGGGAGGGCAGTGGGGCCCGAGTACCCTCGGTCCCAGCCCCATCACTGGCCTATGGGACCCCAGCAGCCCCTTTGTCCCGCCCTGCTGCCACCATGGTCACCAACGTAGTGCGGCCTGTCAGCAGCACTCCTGTGCCCATTGCCTCTAAGCCCTTCCCCGCCTCTGGCAGGGCTGAGGCATCTCCAAATGACACAGCAGGTGCCAGGACTGAAATGGGCACTGGGTCTCGGGTACCTGGGGGCTCCCCGCTGGGTGTCAGTTTAGTGTATTCGGACAAGAAGTCAGCAGCCACCTCACCAGCCCCACACTTGGTGGCTGGGCCCCTGCTGGGCACTGTGGGGAAGGCACCTGCCACTGTCACCAACCTGCTGGTGGGTACTCCAGGCTATGGGGCCCCTGCACCCCCTGCTGTTCAATTTATTACTCAGGGGGCCCCTAGCAGTGGGACCACTGTAGGCTCAGGAGCAGGTTCTGGAAGTGGTCCCAATGGGCCAGTACCCCTGGGCATCCTGCAGTCAGGTGCCCTGGGCAAGGCTGGGGGAATCACCCAGGTACAGTACATCCTGCCCACGCTGCCCCAGCAGCTTCAAGTGGCACCTGCCCCAGCAGCAGCCCCTGGGACCAAGACAGCAGCTCCCAGCGGCCCTGCACCCACCACCAGCATCCGTTTCACCCTCCCGCCGGGCACCTCCACCAACGGCAAGGTCCTGGCCGCCACTGCACCCACCCCTGGCATCCCTATCTTGCAGCCTGTACCCTCTGCACCACCCCCTAAAGGTGAGGCATGGGCTGGGCAGCACAAGGATTAGGTTAGTAGGCTTGTTTGGTTTTATTGTAATTTTTTCTTTTCTTTCCTCTGCAACTTCCAGCCCAGTCAGTTTCTCCCGTGCAGGCCCCACCCCCAGGTGGCTCAGCCCAGCTGCTACCTGGGAAGGTACTAGTACCCCTGGCTGCCCCTAGCATGTCAGTACGGAGTGGAGGGGCTGGCCAGCCACTGCCCCTGGTCAGTCCACCATTCTCAGTACCTGTGCAGAATGGTGCCCAGCCACCCAGCAAGGTAAGGGTGTATTTATTAGCTTTGGCTCCACTTTTCCCTTTCTTCTGCTACATGTTGTTTCCTGTCTTCCACTGTTTCTGTGTCTGTTTTTCCTTCAGTCACTTTTTTTTGTTGTTGTTACCGGGGATCAAACTCTGGTCCTTGTGTTTTCGAGTCAAGTAGCGGAACCACTGAGCTAAATCCCCGGCCCTTTCTCTGGTTTTTTGAGGCAGGGTCTCACTATGTAGTTCAGGCTGGTCCTAAACTCACTATGTAACCCAGGCTGGCCTTGAACTCACAGCAATCCTCCTGCCTCAGCCTCCCAAGTGCTGGGATGGGATTACAGGTGGGCACCACCACGCCTGGCTCCTTTAGTCACTTGCTTCTCTTCCTGGAGTTCTTTTTTGGCATCTTTCATGACAGCTATGCACCTTGCGGTTTGTTTTGTTTTTGTTTTTTGGTTTTGGGGGTTTTTTTGGTACCGGAGATTGAGCTCGGGTCCTTGCACTTGCAAGGCAGGCAGCGAAACCACTGAGCTAAATCCCCGGCCCAACCTTGCCATATTTTAAGTCCCCAGTGTCTACACCTTGCTCTTTTTCTGTGTCCTCTTGTCATCTTTTGTCATGTCTTAATCCCAAATTCTGAGTCCCCTGCTTTTGTATAGTACCCCTCCTAGGTCTCAGTCCTTTTTTTTTTTTTTCCTCCTATTTTTTGTGGGGTTTTTTGGTACCGGGGATCGAACTCTGGTCCTTAGGCTTGCGTAGCAGGCAGCGAAACCACTGAGCTAAATCCCCGGCCCCTCAGTCCTTTTACTTTAGGGTCACAGCTCACCCCGTCCTGTGGGTGTTTCTACCCACAGATCATCCAGCTGACTCCTGTGCCTGTGAGCACACCCAGCGGCCTGGTGCCGCCCTTGAGCCCAGCCACCCTCCCTGGACCCACCTCACAGCCTCAGAAGGTCCTGTTGCCCTCCTCCACCAGGTGAGCACAGTTGAGCACTCCTGAGTTGAAGGGCAGGGTAGGACAGGGTGGGCCAGCTCACTTCACTCTTCCTCTTTCCTCTGTGTGGCAGAATCACCTACGTGCAGTCGGCAGGTGGGCACACACTGCCTCTGGGCACCAGCCCTGCATCCAGCCAGGCTGGAACAGTTACCTCCTATGGGCCCACAAGCTCTGTAGCTCTAGGCTTCACTTCACTGGGGCCCAGTGGACCGGCATTCGTGCAGCCCCTGCTCTCAGGTGAGGAGCAGCTTGGCAGGGAGCATTGAGGGCTCAGAGTGAGGCTGAGACAGGCCAGGGCCTAACTCAGTCTCCTGCCTCTTTTTTTCCTGTCTCTCAGCTGGCCAGGCCCCACTGCTGGCTCCTGGCCAGGTGGGCGTGTCACCTGTGCCCAGCCCCCAGCTGCCTCCTGTCTGCACAGCCTCAGGAGGTCCGGTCATAACAGCGTTTTACCCAGGAAGCCCGGCACCCACCTCCTCAGCACCCCTGGCCCAGCCATCCCAGGCCCCCCCAAGCCTGGTGTATACTGTGGCCACTAGTACCACCCCACCTGCTGCTGCCACCATTCTGCCCAAGGGCCCACTGGTCACTGCCACTGCCACCCCAGCCCCCACTAGCCCTTTCCCTAGTGCCACAGGTGGGTGTCAGAGCAACCAGGGAAGGGTGAGTTGGGGATGGGGGGGGATGGTCTCCAGGCCTGACTCAGCAAATGTTCTTCTCTCCACCAGCGGGTTCCATGACCTACAGCTTAGTGGCCCCCAAGGCCCAGCGTCCCAGCCCAAAGGCCCCCCAAAAAGTGAAGGCAGCCATTGCCAGCATTCCTGTAGGCTCCTTTGAGGCAAGTGCCACTGGGCGGCCTGGCCCTGTTTGCCGGCAGCCTCTGGAGCCTGGTCCAGCCCGAGAGCCATCAGCCACAGAGTCTGAGCTTGAGGGGCAGCCTACATCACCGGCCCCTCCACCACCCCCAGAGACCTGGCCTCCCACAGCCCGGAGCAGTCCCCCCCTGCCCCTGCCTGCTGAGGAACGGACTGGTACCAAGGGCCCTGACACCATGGTGAGTGTCTGGAGGTCCTGGGGCTCCCCCTGGTGCCCAGCTGTCTGCTGCCCACTGTCCTTGCTTTTCTGTCTTGCTCTTCCTTCCTTGCCTGCATGTGTATCCTGTCTGTCTATTGTATGCCTTCCACCTGGTGTTCCACTTCTGGCCTTCCTGAAGCCATGGGACTGAGTTTTCTCTAAGGGTTTGTGTTTTGAATTGTCCAGAATTCAAGTTTCTGGCTGTTGCCCCAGTGGGTCAGCCTAGAGCTTTTCTCCCTGCTTGTCCTTACCACAGGCCAGCAAATTCCCCAGCTCATCCTCAGACTGGCGTGTCCCTGGGATGGGCCTGGAGAGCCGTGGGGAGCCTCCCACTCCTCCCAGTCCGGCCCCAGCTCCAGCTGCAGCCCTGGGTGGTAGCAGTAGCAGCAGCGAGGGCAGCAGTGGGAGGGCGGCTGGGGACACACCTGAGCGAAAGGAGGCTGCTAGTACTGGCAAGAAGGTGAAGGTGCGGCCCCCACCCCTGAAGAAGACCTTTGACTCTGTGGACAAGTGAGCAGGGGCTGGGGACCTTGGCAAAGGGTGTGGGGCAGGTGGGAGAGCCGGCAGCTGCAGGCTGAGGCAGAGGAGCAAACCCTGCCGGCCCTCCAGCAGGGTCCTGTCGGAGGTAGACTTTGAAGAACGCTTTGCTGAGCTGCCCGAGTTTCGGCCAGAGGAAGTGCTGCCATCACCCACCCTGCAGTCTCTGGCCACCTCACCTCGGGCCATCCTGGGCTCTTACCGCAAAAAGAGGAAGAACTCCACGGGTAGGCGAGTGCTGGCTCCTGGGTGGGTGGGGGAGCAGACTGGGGCTACCTCTACTGAGCCTGCTTCTGTTTGGCCAGACTTGGACTCAGCACCAGAGGACCCTACCTCACCCAAGCGCAAGATGAGGAGACGATCTAGCTGCAGCTCAGAGCCCAACACCCCCAAGAGTGCCAAATGCGAGGGGGACATCTTCACCTTTGACCGAACAGGTGCAGGCACTGTAGGGACTCCAGCACCTGCAACAGGAGGGGTTTTGGGAGGGCAGTGTGGGAACAATGAAGTAGGTATTGCAAAGAAGAACAAGTCAAGGCTGAGTTCTGGAGTCTGTCAGGTAGCTGAGTTGGCATGTGATATTGCCAGTCCCCTCTCTGATTCCGCCGTGAAATAGAATTGAGAGGACTTGATTGGGTACTCGGATGGTGGCAGGGAAGCTTGGGCTGCTGTTGTAGTGGTTTTTTTTTTTTCTTTCTTGAGACAGGCTCTTGCTCTGTAAATCAGGCTGGCCTCAAACTCCTGGCAATCCTCCTATGTCACCTTCTCAAGTGCTGGGATTATAGGCCTGCACCATGCCCGTGCTTTTGTAGTCTTGACCCTGCTCTCTTTGCCCTGCAGGTACAGAGGCTGAGGATGTGCTAGGAGAGCTGGAATATGAGAAGGTGCCATACTCCTCACTTCGGCGCACCCTGGACCAGCGTCGGGCCCTGGTCATGCAGCTCTTCCAGGACCATGGCTTCTTCCCATCAGGTGAGTGTGTCTTAGACTCTTGGAGGTCACTTGGATGGGACTTGCTTAGTATCTCATCCTGCCCTCTCCACAATTTCTGTCCCCAGCCCAGGCTACAGCAGCCTTCCAGGCCCGCTATGCAGACATCTTCCCGTCTAAGGTTTGTCTGCAACTGAAGATCCGAGAGGTGCGCCAGAAGATCATGCAGGCAGCCACTCCCACGGAGCAGCCCCCTGGAGCTGAGGCCCCCCTCCCTGGACCGCCCCCAGCTGGCACTGCTGCTACCCCTGCTTCCACGCCTAGCCCTGCTGGAGGCCCCGACCCCACCTTACCTGGCTCGGACTCTGGCACAGTCCAGGCTGCCCCACCACTGCCTCCACCCCCAGAGCCGGGACCTGGACAGCCTGGCTGGGAGGGGCCCCCCCAGCCTTCCTCTCCACTCTCAGGCCCTTCCACAGCTGCCACAAGCAGGTGAGGGGCCCTTTTGAGAAGATCCCAGGACCCACAGTACTTCCCCTCAGGACATGGACAGTATGTAGGTGGCAGGAAGGGGGGGGGCAGGGGGATGGTTACCTCCTCCCCAGTAAAGCCATTTCGTCCTTTCCAGTTTGGTGCGGAATGAGGCCTGCTCCTCTTGTATATAGTCCCTCCCCGCAGTTCCCTCCCTGTGCTGGGGGGCAGCTGAGGAGAAGCAGGGGCACAGTCCCTCTACTGAGCCCCTGTTCATAACCGGGAGTGTGACCTTCAGAGCTTTTCACTTGTACTTTATGCAAAATGGCTCATGTGAGGGCTGCAAGCTGGAAGGTAGTGTGGGCCTTGGGCCACAGGGAGGTGCCTGTGGAGTAGGGGGAGTTCATGTACCCCGTTTTTCCCCAGAGGGGCTGGACTCAGGTTAGTTTGGGGGTGGGGCTCCTGCACTTTTGCCACAGGCATGGGGAGGGTTCTCTCCCTATCCCTCTGCCCTCGCAACTTGGGTTGTACTTTCTAAGAAGGTAATTCCCCCTGCCCTTGCCCCCATCCCCAGAACAAAACATGTTGATCATGTGCAATATTTCTTACTGTGCCGAGAAGCAGCAATGACCGCGATTAAAGCTGTTTAACACATCTGTGTGGCTGCTTGCTCTGAAGTGGGAGGGGTGTTAGTTGTACCAGTCCTATCTCCAGATCAGATGGCTGTAGAGCAGTGCACTCCTCAGAGTAGAGGAGTGATTGCAGTACCACCTCAACAGCAAAGGGACCTTGGGGGCCAAAATCCCTGCCTTTATGGATGGGGTGGTCTTTATTGCAGAAGCCCAGGGCTCAAAGAACTCCAAAGCCCACGCTGCTCCTAGCCATTCAACTTGTTTGCACTGGGGTAAGACCTGAGGCAACCTGGTGGTTTGAGAAAGGAAGCTCACTTATATCTGTACTGGAATCAGTTTTACTCAACAGGCTCCAAGAGGTCCTAGCCCAGAGGCAGCATTTAAAAGGCTAATCCACCCAGAATACTAGGCCATCCTGAGTGACCCCTACGGCCCCCATGTGGCCTGGGTCAGCACTTCAACCTCTGGGGGTTTCACCCCTCCCACTCAGCCTCTGGCTGTAGTGCCCTCCTGAGACAACGGTACCCAGTGCAGAGAGGGACCACTAATGGGGTTGGGAGAGTCTAGAAGCCTCCACAGGAAGTGGCATCTAAATTAAGGCGAGAGCATCAGAAGTTCAGCCAGGATAACATGCAGACTGGAGGAACAGCTCAGTGTTTTGAGTGTTCCCAGAATTCCTGCTTGACCTTGATCCTAACAAGATAATGCTGGCAAACTGGTTTTACCCAGTGTGTTTCTTGATTGGTATCATCTACCTAAAGCATACTATTGTGATGGAAATCCAAGAATCAAAGTGCCTTGATGGACTAGTGATGCCTGTTGGGAAGGAATAGAAGCACCCTGTAGGGTCCTATATCACGATGAGGATCTAGTGGTGGTACCCAGACAGGCTTGGCCATAAAGCAGGAAACAAAAACTGAGGAAAGTGAATTTAATGTGGGAGGGCAAGATGTTTAGGGTGTGGGCTCTGCCAGAGGAACACTCTGGCCCTGGTCTTGGGCCAGGAGACGCAGAAGCAGGGAGTGCAGGGCCCGACAGACAGGTGTGTAGCCTAGGCGAGTCAGATGAAGATAATCATACATGTCATGATGGCTTATGGTGCCATCGGAGTGCACAAAGCCAGGGTCAGCATCTAGGAAGTGGGCCCGTGGGTGGCCTGCCAGTGCTGCCCGTATGAGCTCGTTCACCAGTCGGTTCTTCTCCCGAAGTGGGTTTGGGTGCTGGCCCCTTGGAAGCAGGCCCTGAGGAGCAACATGAAGAGTCCTAAGGAGATGTCCTACCAGCATCTGGCTATTCTGTTCTCTGCCAAACTGTCTATCCCTCATCATAAAGCTCTCAGCTGCAAAATACACTAGGTATGGAAAAGTGGGGAAGGCAGAAGGGTAGCTCCTGATAGCATGTTCCAGTGTCCAACCAGGAAGAACTGAGTGCCAGCCAGCCTCTTTCCAAGTATCACTCAGAAAAATGTGGCTACCGTCGCAGTGCCCCATTCAAAGGAGGAAGTGTCCCAGCCTAAACACACTCCATGAATGCCTGACAACTTCTGCCTACTTGAGGTTTATTGGGGGAGGGGTTACCTCCAGAATCTCAGGCAAAAGGAGCTAACTGGCCCCTGAACACATCCTCAATCACAGCTACTCTTTTTTTTTTTTTTGGTACCGGGAATCGAACTCGAAATCTTCCTTGTGCTTGCCAGGCAGGTGGCAACACCACTGAGCTAAATCCCTGGCCCATATTCTTACGGTATAGTAAGCTACCACATGAGATTTTGCTTGAAAGCCATTTCACTGTGCCAAGTTGTCGAGAATTGTCAGCTGGGCTACATCTAGGAGGTCCCAGACCACTGCCATTCTTCCCTTCCCACCCTCCCAGCCTCTCACCAGCACCACGACCCGGGCCTGGGGCTGCCGCTGGTTCACCAGTTCCACAATGGCCTTGATGCCACCAGTCACCTGCTCCGCTGTGTGCCCGTGGTTGTTGGTGCCCACCCAGACCACCACAATCTGTGGAAAGAGGGGCACAAAGCAGCAGTGAGGTGGCAGGCAAAAGGTGCTTTAACTCTCCATGCAAGTCCCACTCACCTTGGGCCGGATGTGTTCTAGCTCCCCATTCTCCAGCCGCCACAGTACATGCTGTGTGCTGTCACCACCAATGCCAAAGTTAAGTGCGTGCAAAGGAGAGAAGAGCTCTCGCCAAATCTGTGGGCAAGAAGTGGAGTGGGCACAGGGGTATCCTCAGCATGGACCACCACCTTCTGTCCAGGCTTTAATCAAATGCCATTATGGAAGCAGTCTGATTAAATCTCACCTTGAACAAACCCCAATAACATGTAACTTTTGGGGGGGGGGTACCTGGGATAGAACTCAGGACCTTGCACCTTGGAGGCAGGCAGCAGCACCACTGAGCCTGAGCTAAATCCCTAGCCCCCATTTAACTTTTTTTTTTCAGTACCAGGGATCTGAACTTGGGTCCTTGCGCTTGTGAGGCAGGCGGCAGAACCACTGAGCTAAATCCCCAGCCCTCCCATGTAAGTTTTTTTTGTTGTTGTTGTTGTTTGTATCGGGGATCAAACTCAGGTCCTTGAGCTTGTGCAGCAGGCAGTGAAACCACTGAGCTAAATCCCTGGGCCCCCATGTAAGTTTTTAATGGTAACCTATTACAGTCTCACTAACTAGAAGCAAGACTCGTTTTATGGAAATCACTGTTTGAACTGTGCATACAGCCAATAGCATTACAGTTGAATTTTATTTTGAGAAAAACCTTTATGGTTGAACCTTGCTTAGTGGAAGGATTATGATTGAGCCCCTTTTGTGGAGTACCATTACAGTTGACCTTTACTTTGTACAAACCCTACAGGGCTGTGCTCTACTTTAAGCAAACAATAAAGAGCCTCACCCTAGGCAATCTTCTTGTAAGAAAGCTTCATTTTAAGTGACAAACTCTGGGAGCAAATTTTCTTCTCAGCAGAATGTTACGGAGATTCTCGGTGCCCAGCTGCCACAGGACATTTCAAGTACCCCATACTTAGTGTGCCCTGGGTTCTGGGCCACAAGTATCACTCAAGAGAATAGCCCTGGGGGAAGCAGAAGGGGATGGGTCTCACCTCGCACTGGTGCATTAATTGGACCAAGGAGTCCCCGATGAAGACTACTTCGGGCTCCTTGTCTTTGCTGTCCGCCACGAACCGATGGTGCTGCGGGGACGCACGAAGAGTGTGTGTGTGCGTCAGTCAATGGCACGCACGCTGCGTGGCCCCTACTGTCCTGCCTTCTCAGGCAGCACGACCCCAATCGCCCTCAGCTTGCCAGCAGCCAGGCTGTGAAAATCGAGGATCTCTGGAGCCAGGCCCCGCCCCCCCGTTTCCCCCTCTGTAGCCGACCTCAGAGTACTGCGGTCGGGATCGCCTACCAGGGACATCCATCGCCCGTCGCCCTGCACGTCCTGCACCGGTGTGGGCTTGCTGGCTGGATTCTCCTCTTTGCTCATCTCGGCGCCGCAGTTCCTGAGGAACAGCTAGTCAGGTCAGCCCGTGAATGCTCCCGGAGGCTCCGCCACGCCCACTCCTACCCCTCCGGACAACAATGGACCGTCCCGACGCGCCCACTCTCGGGAAGGTTGAAGGCCGATCCGGGGCGCCACCTCCTCTCCTGGGGCGGAAACCTTCGTTTAGAAGGAAGGAGGGATTATTGAGAATCCTCTCTTCCCCCAAGGCGGCCGCGCAGTGGGCTCATCCGGAGCTTCCCGCCCAGGCCGCACACTCTCCGGTCGCTGCGGATAGCGCACCCCGGCACGGGAGGCGGGGCAGGCGAAACCATCCAGCGCGCGTGGCGGGGGGAGGAGGGACAAACCACCTTGTGGCGTCACGGGGTGGACCCATCTACCTGAAAAGCCGAGAGTGGGCAGGGAAAACCTAGCGCCGTTCTTTGGAAGAAGAAACCATTTGCGGTAGGGAGACAAAAGTGCAGAAGGGACTATCGTGGGAGGATGTGCCCCGTACATGAGGTGGTGGCGGGTGAAGGAAGCTAGTGGGGCGAGTTCATTCTTGGATCCCTGGAGGGGTGGTTCCTAAGCACCTGGTCAGGAAGGGACTCTCCCATTTTTTATTGACATGGGGGACTGAAAAGGAAGATGGCAAATCATAAAATTTAGAGACCTGGTTTTAAGGAGATATTCTAAGGTGGCGCCAATGTGTTAGGAAACCTACCTGTTCTTGGACTTCCTCTACTCAAAACACCATCTTTTTTGTTGTTACTGTTGCGGTACTGGGGAATGAACCCAAGGCTTTCTCACTGAGTGACATCCCCAACCCTTTTTATTTTTTATTTGAGACAGTGTCTCGCTAAGTTGCTAAATTGTTTAGGCTGGGCTCAAACTTGTGATCCTCCTGCCTCAGCCTCCCAGAGTGATGAAATTAAGGACCTATCCCACCATGCCTAGCTCAGGGTCTTTTTCTTTTTTTAATGGCGTGAAACGTAAACTACATATTTGTCCATTCAAAACACCACAGGGCCTGCATAGAAAGTAGAAAAGGTTGAAGAAAGAGAAAGGAAACTGGAGATGTCTCTAGGGCCCAGGTCTAGGTAGCCTGGCACCCCTCCCGCAGATCATCTTGCAGTTCTGTGGCCTCTGCTCCCCTCTCTAAACCCAGGGGCCAACCAACAACTTCAGTGGGGTGTGTCTAGCTTCTGAAACCCACACTAACAGCCGAGGCCACCTAAGGTAGCACCTCTTCTCCTCTGGCTCCAAATTAATCTCAGACTTAAGTGTACTCTCAGATCTCTCTGTTCTGAGGGACCAGGTGGGGGTCTCATTTGCCTCTAAAAGTCCTGGTCATTTTCTTGTAACTCCACCTCCAGGTCGGACCTTCCTGTGTACTCATTCCTTCTGGATAGATTGGTCCTGAGGCATAGAGATGAGTCTTATTTATTGTATTTATGTTCTGTGTCTTCCCTGGAACTGCCCCAGGCACATAGTGGCTGCTCGACAAGTACAATATTTGCCAAATGAATATTACATGAATGAGTCGAATCCTGGCCTTATCCATATGTTGTGGGAGACAGATCCCGACAGAGCAGAGAGGCGTCAAAGTTGTGATTAAGGTACAGGGAATCTCTTGGGAAGGAGAAATGGACTTTGAGGGCCAGGGTGTTCTAGTAGTCTCTGAGTGGGATTTGAGAGATAATGAAGCAGAAAGAAAAGACACACTGGTTATATTATTGCCATAGGGAATACCTTGGCATGGCTTTTGCGAGGGTGTGTGTCTTATTGGGGATCAAACCTATGGGTGCTCTGCCATTGAGCTACATTCCCAGACTACCCCCTCTTTTAAAAAATTTTTGACACAGGATCTCTCTAAGTTTCTCAGCTTGAACTTTTTTTTTTTTTGGTACCGGGGATTGAACTCAAGACCTTGCACTTTCGAGGCAGGCGCCAGGACCACAGCTAAATCCCAGGCCCTCAGCTTGAACTTTTGATCTTCTTGCCTCAGCCTCGCAGTGTGCGGTGAATACAGGCTTGCACCACCACAATCGGTTTATAACTTGGGTAAGTGTAGACAGGTAAATTGGAGAGACAGAGGTGTAGTTTCTGAAGCAACGCTTAAGTGAGAAAAAGGCCTCTAACCATTCACTCATTCATCAGGCAGTGTTTCAAGACAGTTATACTGGTTCATTTCATCCTTCTAGTAACCACATGAGGGATGGACTATTACTAACCCCATTTTACAGATCAGGAAATGGAAGCCTTGAAGTTACAAACTTTTCCATGGTCACACAGCTCAAATATGTCAGTTTGGGCTTTGAATCTAGGTACTCTAGCTCCAGAGCCTAGCTCTGAATCAGGACACTAAAGTAACAATGATTCTCCAAGGATGAATTTCACCCTTGGAGACAAGGTAGGTCGGCATGGACCTTAGCTTTACACCTAGCCACATCTGACCTCTAGTCAGTGAGCCAATAGTTGTTTAAACCAATCAGCATTCAGGAAAGAGGCGGGCCTAGGAGTCCTCAGAGCCAATTGGTGGACGAGTGGAGCCAAGGTCGTGAGGCTAGGAGGGACAGCTATAACTGGCACTGGGAAGGCCTCGCGCCTCTGTTCAGAACGTGCAAGTCAAAGGGCGTGGCAAGGGCACGCGCGTGCGTATAGCGCGCATGCGTGTGGCGTGCCTGACTTCAGGGAGAGTGCTGGAGCAGCTTCGAGGCGAGTGTCGTCACGGAAAAGTGGCCATTGCTTTCCACACCCGCGTGGAGTAAGTGTGTGGGTGAGGTTCGTTCGTTGGGACTGAAGAGGGTTAGGTACCCTCCCCCCACCAACTGTACCTCACTCCCTTCATTCAGCCCTGCTGCCTTCCTCAACTGCCCCAGCCTGCCTCCTGCTCTGGGTCTCTCCTCATGACCAGTCCCTTGTCCCCAGTAACTCCTCTGTCTTCATTTCTGTCCTCCCAAGGTTTTCTCAGGGTCTCCAGGTTCTCTTGTTGTCTTTCTCTACCATTTCTCTTCACTTTCTGTACCTTCCTGTACTTTTTCTACTCCTGAATTTCTACTCTGTCTAAAATCCCATTCTGGTCCCCTACGTCACTCAAATCTCATGATCCATTTGCCACCCTCCATCTTTTAACTATTTGCCCTTGTCCCTATTTCTAGTTCTCTGGTTCAATCCCCAGTATCACAAGCAATTAAATAAATAATACATACATAAATAAATGAGGTTTTTTTGGGGGGGCTACCAGGGATTGAACTGTGGTCCTTGTGCTTGCGCAGCAGTCGGCAAAACCACTGAGCTAAATCCCTGGCCCCTAAATAAATATTTTTAAAATTTGTGTTTCCACCTCACCTCAACCATCTCTTCTCATTTTGCTACTTACCTGACTTACCTATATCTGATGACCACTGTCCTTTTTTCTTTTTTTGGTACCGGGGATTGAACTGGGGTCCTTGTGCTTGCACAGCAGGCATTGAAACCACGGAGCTAAATCCCCGGCCCCAGCTGTCCTTTTTTCTTCCAGGAGACCATGGACCCCAGGGGACCAAACCGTCAGTCTTTCCAGCAGCCTGAGAAACCTGGCCGTGTGCGTCGTCGGAAGACCAGGCGGGAGCGGAATGAAGCCCTGGTGGGCAGCCGCCGGCCATTGGCCCATCATGATCCTCCTATGTCCAGTCAGGATCCACCTGTTGCCCTCCGGGATCCTGTGGTCCCTGCTGCATCCAAGCTCGTGGTCATAACCCAGGGCCGGCTGAGCCGGGAGCACTGGGGTCTTTTCAACCATGAGGTGAAATCCCTGAATGTGGCCCGGCTGCTTGACAGAGGGTCCCTGGAGCCAAGAACCCCCCCCCTCCCCACTAAGCCTTCCTCCAGCCCAGCCAGGATTCAAGAGCCAGCCTCCCAGTCAAGGGGCAAGGAGAACCAAGTGCCTGGAGGCTCAGGCCCAGGCCCACCTAATTTTCCAGAACTCCCTGGTTTGGGGCAACTTCTGGAGGAGCTACAGTGCCAGTTGATTTTGCCACAGGCCTTCCCCAGGAGGAACCTGGTGCAGGAGGCCAGAGATGCCATCGTGGGAACCTTACATGCCCTCCATGGCTGTGTGCCTGATCTTGCCCTGGTGCTCCAAGGCTGCCAGTCACCTTTGCCAGGTGAGCCTGCCTCCTGCCCTCCGCTTCCCCCTTTCCTTTCTCTGCTCTAGCCCACCTATCCCCCATGCTTTTTTCCTGTGTGCCAGGGACCAAACCTGAGGTTCCTGAGAGACAAACAATGACGCCTTCCTGGATCAACAAGCCTGAACAAGCCGCAAGGGAAGGGAGGCAGAGGAGGCCCCAGCGGACAAAGGACATCTTTACCATGCCTCATATGTCCAGCACTCCCACTGCACACAGGATGAGCCTGGAGCCACGAAGAGGTCCCTGGCCACCTTCCTTGCCCTTGTCTTCACCTTCTGGGACAGCCTGGGGCCCCCCAACAGCCTTTGACCTACTAAAAAGCATCTGGCTTGTAGGCACACCACCTCCTCCCCATCACTGGTGTGTAGGCCCACCTCAGCCCCTGCCTCAGCCATCACCTTTGTTGCCCCGAACTTCTGACCTGGACTGGAGCCCCACCTCCCCTGCCCCACTTCCCAGTCTCTCCTGGGTAGTAGCTCAGAGCAGTCCAGAAGCCTGGTCCTTTCCACCCATGAGACTGTACTGAGGGGGCTGTGGCTAGGCCTGGGGCAGGGTATCCTCATACCCAGTCATCTCAATAAAGTACCTTCTTGGTCCTGTTGGTTTTTAGTGAGTGGCAGACCCTGGAGAGTAACTTTCATTAGCTCTGAGTTCTAGGAGCAAGATGGAGGAGAAGCCACTGTTACATTTTACCTTCCTGGGGCCCGAGGGGCCAACAGGATATTGAAACTTGTGGTCTCAGTCTTAACACATATCCCACTTTGGCCAACTAGGTGCCTGACTCTGAGCTCTAGCCATACAGGGGCCCAGAATAAGTGAGCCTGGGGCCCTCATAAGACACCCATTCTGGTGGGGGGAAATCCCACCTCCAGAGGTTGCATGTGGGAGAGAGCTGAAGGGGCTGGGAGCCTAAGGAACAAGATTCAGTTTCACAGAAGAGGTGACACAGGCCTTGTATTTTCTTTTTTATGCCCTATATTTTGGAAGATTGGTAGAAACTTGATAGTTGGTGGGAAAGAACATTTACAGCAAAGGGAAGAACATGTGCAAGGCTTGGAGAAGGGCAGAGGTAGAGGAGGTAAGGGGACATGACCATTTTTATTTAGCTCCTATCCTTAGATCATGCTGGAACTAGAGTCAGTCACATTTGCCCTGGCCTTGCGGAGCTTCTGGTCTGGGATCACAGGGAACAGGGTAAATTGCATGATCAGGGCCGTAGTGGCAGATCAGGGCTCAATCTGGCCCAAAGATTTTCTCCCCCTCAAAATATATTTTAAATGGTTTAATCAGTTACCTACTTTTTATATTTAAATACCTTTGTACACACTACATTCTCCATTTTTCATTCATCCTTCATTTGTTTTTTTTGGTACTGGAGATTGAACTCGGGTCCTTGTGCTTGTGAAGCAGGCAGTGAAACCACTGAGCTAAATCCCCGGCACCTCATCCTTCATTTTTGTTACCAGATCAATTGCCTATTGTTAAAAATCAGAGGGCCAGGGATTTAGCTCAGTGGTTCCACCACCTGTCTTGCAAGCGCAAGGTCCTGAGTTTGATCCCCAGTACCCCCCCCAAAAATCAGAATTTTGCTTTAAAAAAATTACATTGGGTGGGGTTGAGACAGGGTCTCAAGATGTAGTTAAGGCTGGCCTTGAACTCACTATAAGGCATGGTGGTACACACCTGTAATCCCAGCACAGGGAAGCTGAGACAGGAGGATCGGTTGAGTCCAGGAGTTTGAGGCCAGTCTGGGCAACATAGTCCTTATTTCAAAATAAAGTCATTTAAAATAATAAAAATAAAGCCCAGCATTGTGTCACACTTATATAATAACAGCACTTAGAAGTCTGAGGCAGGAGGCAGGAGGAGCCTGGGCTACTTGTTGAGATCAGGGCCATCCTGGACTATGTAATGAGACTTTTTCAAAAACCATGATAAATATATTAAAATGCCATTTTGAACAGTTGCACATTTTCTCCAGTGGAAGGTGAGGGATGAAACTAGGAATGTTGATGGGAGTCTTATCAGGAAAATCAAGCTGAAGACTTTCCAGGGCTCCTGCTTCCCCACTGAGAAACCACAAGGTTGATTCAAACACAGAGTGGACTGGACTAGGAGATCACTGGGCTGAATGAATTGGTCACGAGGGTTGTGGTGGGGAAATGCCAATGGTGAGATCTGAACCCAAGCAGCTTGAGTCCATGCTCCTAGATATCTCACACCTCTCCTTCTCACAGCAACCCTGTTTCACACTCAGGTAAGAAGTGACAGGATAGGTCAGGCAGATGGGTATGGTGGTTGTGGCAGAAAGCTCCCCCACCGCCACCTCTGTGTTGTATGACCCAGAACTAGTGGCTTGTCCTCTGTGCCTCTGCAGGCGCCTCACAAGGGTGCATTGAATCTGTGACACTGGCAACCCAGGGGCAGACACAAGTGAGAGGGGTTGCTAAGGACAGAGAGATGGGTAATCAGAATGGTTTGGGGACTAAATTGTCAGAACAGAGCTCAGGTCTGGGGGTTGTGAATTGTCCCGGGGACAGCAGTCTAGAGAAGGCCTGGTTTGAAATAATGTGAGTTCAGTTGAGGGCACCGAGAACCGAAGGTATCCACAAGACTCCCGGAGGAAAGGACTGGAGCTGGGGCGGGGTGACAAAGGATGCGAAAGGTGCGTCTCCTCCCAAGTGGGGACAGTAGCGACCAGGTTGGGCCATCCGGGTGGAGAGGGCGGGGAACGCTGTGCCCAGCGGCCCCTTTAATCGGGGGCGCGCGCTGGCCGGCCCGCGCGCTCTCGCCTCCGTCGCCGGGCCGGAGTCGGAGCCGTTGCCGGAGCGGGGCGGGGGCCGGAGCCTGCGGAATGGAGCCCCCGTGCGCGCCCGCGCTGCGCCGCCTGCTGCCGCCGCTTCTGCTCCTGCTGCTGCCACTGCCCCCCCGCGCCCGGGCCAAGTACGTGCGGGGCAACCTCAGCTCCAAGGAGGTGAGCACGCCCGGCCCTCCCCAGCGGCCCACCGGGCCCAGGGGACTACAGGGGACAGGTGCCGCCCCGCCCCCTGTCACCCTCCTGGCGGACCTGGGAGCCACTGCCGAATGGGCCAGGGCGGGGGTGGGGGGGTGCCGGGCCAGGGTCGGGGCTCTGGGGGCTGTATTAGGGACGTGGAGGTCAGAGCTGGGCGAGGAGAGGGGCAGGTTGGGAGAGTGGGGCGGGAAGGAGGGGCGAGGCCGAGGTGGTGCTGAAGGGACAGCACTCTTCTTCGCTCCGCGGAGAGCCCGAGTTCAATACACTCTCGCTCAGGGCTGAGGGGGGCGGTTTGGAAGATTCCCCAGCTCAGGATGGTCTCTGGGACCGCCGCGGGTGGGGTGGGGTGGGGTGGGGTGGAGGTGTGTGTGTGTATAACTGGGTGAATTCGGGTGGGAAGGTGGCTGAGACCGAAGGTGGCCAAGATGGGCACCTGGCTCTCCAGGGCTTTTCTCTTGGTTCCTGGAAAATGGAGGCAGGCGTGTTTGAGAGGAGGGAAGGTTAACTGGGGGTGGAGATAGTGGTGGTAGCGTGCATCTCGGGGAAATAATCAGGATGGCAGGAGTCCTAGACCCACGGCAAGGGGACCTAGAAAGAATTTTGGAAGTGACTTGGTCTCCTTTGAGGTATTTGGGAAGCCAAAAGCCAAGTATCTGAGGGTAGGGAAGAAAGTTGAAGGACTCTGAAGTCCAAGAGGGTTCTCAAAGGACTTGGAAGAGGGTCTGACCGGGCCCCTTTGCCAGGACTGGGTGTTCCTGACAAGATTTTGTTTCCTCTCGGATTACGGCCGACTGGACTTCCGCTTCCGTTACCCTGAGGTGAGTCTCCCCCAACCACTGTCCAAGGTGAGGCTGGATACTTACTCCTTTGGCCTCTCAAGGCAAGGGCTACTCCAGCCCCCTACACTCCCTCAAACCCCCAAATCTCTGAGTCTGCAGGCCAAGTGCTGTCAGAACATCCTTCTCTATTTTGATGACCCATCACAGTGGCCAGCTGTGTACAAAGCAGGGGACAAGGTGAGGGTTGTGAAGAGGGTGTATGGGGAGGGGAACAGAAGGTCCTTGATGGCCAGGGAGTGATCCTGTCTCTGCTTTCCCTAGGACTGCCTGGCCAAGGAGTCAGTGATCAGGCCAGAGAACAACCAGGTCATCAACCTCACCACCCAGTATGCCTGGTCAGGCTGTCAGGTGCGGGGGAGCAGGCAGGCGCTGAAGGTCAAGGGCCTGGCAGCATGGAGGACAGACTTCAGCCTTCTCCTGGCTCTTCCCTAGGTGGTGTCAGAGGAGGGAACCCGTTACCTGAGCTGCTCCAGTGGTAGAAGCTTCCGCTCTGTGCGTGAAAGGTGGTGGTACATTGCACTCAGCAAGTGTGGGGTAAGTGGCTGGGGTGGCCCCCTGGTCCTTCTCCTCTGCCTTTCTGTGGACCCCCTTGCCTGCCTAGGGTGCTCCTTAGGCCTCCACACTCCCCACAGGGAGATGGGCTGCAGCTGGAATATGAGATGGTCCTCACCAATGGCAAGTCCTTCTGGACACGACACTTCTCAGCTGATGAGTTTGGTGAGCAGATACCTGGTGAGCTACTGCCAGTGTCTCAACTGGAGCTTGGTGAGGACACCCACTCAATGAACTACTTCTTCTTTCCACCAAATCTTAGGGATCCTGGAGACAGATGTGACCTTCCTCCTCATCTTCATCCTCATCTTCTTCCTCTCCTGTTACTTTGGATGTGAGTCCAGCATATAGTGGGGGGTATGAGGTATGTGGGTGCAAGCTTAGGAAATGTGCTGCCCTCCCTTCTGTCTGTGAACAGCCTTTTTATGATGCCTTCCTAGATTTGCTGAAAGGTCGTCAGTTGCTCCACACAACTTACAAAATGTTCATGGCTGCAGCAGGAGTGGAGGGTGAGGTTTAGAGTTACCCAGCTTTTGAGTTCTATGGGAGGAGAGACTTGGAACCCAGATGCCTAGGTCTGAGGGAGGAGGGCTGAGGCCTAGACCCCTGGGTCCTAGGGGATGAGTGGCTGGGGCCTGGACTCTTAGGCCTGAGGGAGGAGGACTGGGGGTCTAGACCCCTGAGCCTGAGGGAGGAGGCTGGGCCAGGACCCCTGGGTCTGAGGCAGAGGGACTAGGGGCAGTGGACTCCACAATCTAGCAAGTAGGAGCAGATAGTCTGGAGTCCTAATGGGGGCAAAGTAGGGTTCATTTCATCGGTGTCATAGTGCTAGAGGACAGTGATCCCCACAGCTAATTTCTGTCCTTTCCCTCTCTGCCCATTGTCCTTTCAGTCTTGAGCCTCCTGTTTTTCTGCATCTACTGGGGTCAATATGCCACTGATGGCATTGGCAACGAAAGCATGAAGATCCTGGGTGAGAATGGAGTGGGCTGTGGGAGGGCTGCGGGAGATCTGTACTCTCTCTGAGCCATCTCTGAACCCTTCTCTCCTCCCCAGCCAAGCTGCTCTTCTCCTCCAGCTTCCTCATCTTCCTGCTCATGCTCATCCTTCTGGGGAAGGGATTCACGGTGACACGGTGCCCGGGCAGGGAGTGCTCCTTGGGTGGCTGGGCTGGGGAGCTGGGCAGGGGTGGGTGGGTGTGGGGGGTGATCACCTCCTCCTCCCTGACGGCCCCCACCCCTGCTGTCTCCTCTCATGGGCTGCTGCCAGGGGCCGCATCAGCCACTCAGGCTCTGTGAAGTTGTCTGTGTACATGACCCTGTACACCCTCACCCACGTGGTGCTGCTCATCTATGAGGCCAAAGTGAGTCCCCCAGCCCCTGCCAGGCCTCTCCGTTCCCAGATTTTGGTGGCTTCCTTCTCCTTGACCTGCCTGCTGCTGCCCTTCTCCACCTAGCGTCCTCCTGGATTTCTCTCCTACTCTTGAGTTTCTGCCTTCCCGTCTGTCTCTGAGTAGCTTTTTTCCTCTTCCCTCCGCCTCTCACTGTCTGTAACATTTAAGCTCCCTGTTTTAAAAGTTCAGGTGTCACACACAGCTGGATTCCACTCTGGCTGTCCCACTTCTTAGCTGGCTGACTTTGAGTGATGACCCCCCAAACCTGTTTCCTCCCCTGAAAATCAGGAGGACCTTACCCACTCTAGGGACTCTTCTGAGGCTTTATATCACCTTATGGCTTTGGCCAAAGGCCTTCACTCTCAGCCTCACTTTCCTCCCCTGTGAAGTGGGAACTAGTAAGACTTGCCTTGTGGAGTTGATGCTAATGGAAAAGCTCACACATGGTAGGCATTTAGCCCCACATTGGGCACAAGATAGCTGATGTGGCCTGGTCCTAGCTTTCTTGTTCTACCTCTATATCTTTCTATCTCCATCCCCGACTCCCCTGATGCTTCTGTTCTGACCCAGTAACCCTGCTCCCTGGGTACCCAGTGGTGGGGCTGGGGCAGCAGGCCAGTGCTGTGATTAACCCTGTCCTGTGGGTCCAGTTCTTTGATCCAGGCCAGGTACTGTATACATATGAGTCTCTGGCCGGCTATGGGCTCATCGGGCTGCAGGTGGCAGCCTACGTGTGGTTCTGCTACGCAGTGCTCATCTCCCTGCGCCACTTCCCTGAGAAGCAGCCCTTCTACGTGCCCTTCTTTGCTGCCTACACCCTCTGGTGAGATGTGGTGGGCCCCCAACCTCTCTATGCCCCCAACTCAGACCCTTCTCCATAGGGAAGACAAGCTTTCAAGCTTTCAAGTCAGGTAGTTGTCACTCAGAATCTACCACTTCCCCACCTTAAAAAAATTATTCTCTCAAGGCAAAAAAAAAAAAGAGAGAATAAATAATTATTTTCAGAGCCAGGGCATGGTGGCACATGCATGTAATCGCAGTACTCTAGGAGACCGAGGCAAGAGGATCACAAGTTCAAGCCCAGCTTAGGCAATTTAGCAAGAAAGACTGTCTGTCTCAAAATAAAATAAAATAAAATAAATAAAAGGGGACTAGAGATGTAGCTCAGTGTGAAAATCCTGGGTTCAATTTCCAGTACTGCAAAAAAATTATTTTTTTGAGACAGGGTCTCACTATCTAGTCCAGACTGGCCTTGAACTCATTATGTAGCCCAGGTTACCCTTGAACTTGTGGTGATCCTCCTATCTCAGCCTCCTGACCTGGCAAAAAATTATTTTTAAACTGGGAACAGTGATTCATACTTGTAACCATAGCTACTTGGGAGGCTGAGGCAGGAGGATCATGAATTTCAGGGCAACATAGAAAGGCTACATAGCAACTCACTGTCTCAAAAACAAAACGAAACAAGAGCTGGGTATGGTAGTGCATGCCTGTAATCCCAGTACTCAGGAGGCTGAGGCAGGAGGATTGCCACAAGATAGAGGCCAGCCTGGGCTACATAGTGAGTTCAAGGCCAGCCTGAACTACAAAGCAATATCTTGTCTCAAAAAAACCAAACCAAACCAAACAAACAAAAACCCAAAACAGGTGATAATATAGGTCAGTGGTAGAGTGCTTGTGTAGCATGAATAAAGGCCCTGGCTTCCATCCCCACCCCTGGAAAAAAACTACTTTCACAGAGTACCTGTTAGGTTGCTTGTCCACAAAATAAGGCTGTCAGTAGTATCTCTGGCAAAGGGTTTTCTTGAGCATGCATAGGGAAATATATGGGGCTATAAAGCTTATAAATTCTGCCAACTCAGGTAAGTCCATTAACCTCTGCCTTGGTGTTGTCATCTGTTCTTGGGGATGAAAATTCTACCTCCATCATAGACTCACTGTGAGTTAAGTGAATATGTATGGCTTAAAAAGAGGGCTGGGATGCAATAATTCCTTAATTGTTATTTGTTAATTCTGTCATCAAATATCAATTGATTTTCTATGAGATGCCAGGATTTGGGGTATAGTAGAGCCCAGTTAAATTCAACTTAGTCCTTACTCCCTAGAATTTCCCAGTCCAGTGAGATTCCTGTCCCCTTTCAACCTCTGGCTTCAGTTTGGGACCTGTTTGGGGCCGTGTGCATGGCAAGGGAGGTGGGGGTGTGGAACGAGATGGAGCCAGAGGCAGTTTCTATCCACCCAATATCTCCTGTGCAGGTTTTTTGCGGTCCCTGTCATGGCCCTGATTGCCAATTTCGGGATCCCCAAGTGGGCCCGGGAGAAGATTGTCAATGGCATCCAGCTGGGGATTCATTTGTATGCCCATGGTGTGTTCCTGGTAAGGACAGGTGTCTGGTGGGGTGGGAAACTGAAGGGCAGAAGATGCACAGGGCTCCTATTCTTCAACTGCCTGAACATCCTTTTCTGAGCTCTTGACCCATCTCCCCTTAACCATTTACCCCTTAATCACTCGGAAGGTACTTACTGGACTTGCCTAGCATGTGAGACTGTAAGTTCAATCTCCAGTGTGTGTATGTAAAGGGGGACAAGATACATATAGCATACAGATAGGCTGCTAGACCACATTTTCTTTTTTTTTTTTTTTGGTACCGGGGATCGAACTTGGGACCTTGCGCTTATGAGGCAAGTGCCGGAACCACTGAGCTAAATGCCCGGTCCAACTTTTCTATTCTTCTATTCTTCTCTCCCACCTTATGTTCTGGCCTCTTCCCACAACCCCATCCTCTTTCTCTGCCTCCATCCCTATTTCCATTCCTGACTCTGTGTCCCCAGATTCTCACATTTCCCTCTGTAACCCCACTGCCCTCCTCAAGCCCTACCCCCGACTCTCCCATCATAGATCGTTGTTCAGGAAGAAGCTGTTGGGATGGAGCAGTCTGTGGCTCCTGGTGGCTTAGATCTGAAGTGTTGTCCAGACCTGGGTATCAGGAGGATCTCAGCATCAAATCTGTTCTTTACCTTGGTTCCCATCCTGTCTGACCTTCCTGGGGACAGTTCATTCATCCATGCATCCATCTGTGCATTCATCCACCCATCCATCCACTGTTCTCTGGGCTTCTGTCTTGAAATAGTGTGTTTCTTGCTAGGAATATTCATATGCATTTACCCCTGCTCTTTTTCAATTTTCAGAGCAGCCCCAGCACAGGATGGATAGCAGTGTACAAAGAGAGGGGAAGCTAAGGCCCAGAGAGGGCCAGTGACCTGCCAGGGCTCCATGGCCTTTGGTAGCAGGGCAGGCATGTTGAACTGCATCCTTCTCTGGTCTACCACTAGGTGCAACATAAGTGGGAGCCAGAAAGGGAAATAGGCATCACCGAGGGCCCCAGATCCTAACTCCAGGGAACCAGAATGTGCCCATTGCAGGGAAAGTAACCAGAAGTCCAAGGAAGGAGCCCAAGGCAGGTGCCACCCACCACCTCAGAGCCTGGCTATGGTACAGATTCAATCACCTTCCCTGGCCAGTACATCTTGAAAATCTGCAAGAAGTCGGAAAGGGATAGAAAGGGGAGAAACACTGAGAACCCACCAGGTGCCAGCCAGGCTCTGCACCAGTGGTTTTCATTTCTACCCTCTCATCTTTCCAAACAGTCATTGCAATCCCTTTTGGTGGCCAGTGAGGCTCAGGAGGTTTAGTCAACGTGCCCCAGATCCCATGCTCAGTGAGAGATGGAGCCAAGAGGTGTGATGCAGGCTCAACCCAAATGAAGTGCCCTTCAGCCAGCTTCCTTCCTAAAAATGCCAGCACAGGCTGTCATGGTGGCCCACACATGTAATCCCAGCACTCTGAGAGGCTGAGGCAAAAGGATCTTAAGTTCAAGCCCAGCCTGGGTGGTTTAGCAATTTAACAAGACCTTATCCCCAAATAAAAACTAAAAAATGTGCTGGGGATGTAGCTCAGTGCAAAGCCCTTAGGTTCAATGCCCAGTACACTATTGAAGGGGGTGGGAGAAGCCTAGTGCTGCTCAGTGCAAAATGTACTGGAGATTCAACAGGGAACAGGAGGGTCAAGTTCCTGCCTTCAGAGAGCTAACATTCTAGACTATTCACTGCTGTCTAATTGAACTTTCTGTGTTTATGAAAACATTCTATAATCTGTACCTCCCAGTATGGTGTCAAATAAGCACATGAATGTGGGTAGGGTAGTGTGGCTGAGAAACTAAAATTTTAGTTTAATTTTTATTAAATTTAAGCCACTTGTGGTAGTGGCTATCACAATGAACAGCATGTGATGAGGATCTTAACTAGTCTGTGATCAGGACTCTGATAGGCAGAGTAGTAAGAGGTGTGTTGATGGGAAAGGTCAGAACCCAGGGCACAGCCACAGCCCAGAGGAGGCACCTAATCCAGTTTGAGTGGCAGCAGGGAAGTGTAGGGGGAGCGATGTCAAGTGGAGGTAACACTTGGTGTGTGTGTCTGTGTGTGTGTGGTACTGGGGACTGAACCCAGGGGCCTTCCCACTGTGCTGCTCTCCAACCCCTCATTCCCAGCCCCTCTGAAAACATAGTTTGAGACAAGGTCTCACTAAGTTGCTAAATTGCTGAGGGTGGGCTCCAACTTGCAATCCTCCTGCCTCAGCTTCCTAGAGAGCTAGGAAATTACAGGCAAGCACCCTAACACTGCTAAACAGAGGGTACTCTTGAGGTGCTGGAATTTGTGGAAACAGCCAGGGAAAGGAGCCAGGTACTCAAGGAGAAGCTTCGGGGTGCGCCAGGCTTCTCCAACCTGTGCCTGACCCCTGCCCCAGATCATGACTCGCCCATCAGCGGCCAACAAGAACTTCCCGTACCACGTCCGCACGTCGCAGATCGCCTCTGCCGGTACTCCGGGACCCGGTGGCAGCCAATCGGCGGACAAGGCCTTCCCGCAGCACGTCTATGGGAACGTGACGTTCATCAGCGACTCGGTGCCCAACTTCACGGAGCTCTTCTCCATCCCCCCGCCCACCTCCTCCGTAAGCCCTGCGACCCCGGCGCCTGAGGAGCTGCTGGCGCCGCCCCTGGAGTACCTGACCCCGCTCCCGGCCCCGCCGCCGCCGCCGCCGCCCCCGGCGCCCGGCCGCCTCAGCCCTCCCCCTGCCTTCCGCACGCCCCGCGCCCCGACGCCACGCCGAGACCGTCCCCTGGCCCCCGCGCCCACCTTGCCGGACTGGGTCCTGGCGCTACTGCGCACGCCCCCGCCGACGCCACGCGCTGTGCCCCCGCCGCCCGCCTTCCGCGGTTCTCCCCCCGCTCCCCGGCCGCCGCCGGAGTTCGCCTGGCGCACCCCGACGCCGCCTCTTGAGTACCTGGCTCCGCTGCCCAGGCGTCCCCCGATCTGCCCCTGCCCTGACTGACACGTGTGACCATTCTTGGGGTGGTTGGGTCCTTGGGGGGAGGGGGACGGGCCTTCGGGGCCATATCCGCCCCCCCGAGGGTCCTGGACGCCCTCTGACCCTGACCCCCCTCCCAGGCCGGGAAGCAGGTGGAGGAGACAGCGGTAGCGGCGGCGGTGGCCCCGAGGGGCCGCGTGGTGACCACAGCCGAGCTGGGCGCAGCCTCTCCGCCCCCTCCCGCTCGGTTCCCCAAGGCGGCCGACCCGGGCTGGGATGGCCCGACGCCACCCTACCACCCGCTCGTGCCCTCGACGGCGGCGCTGCACACTGGCTTCACCGAATACTTCAGCATGCACACGACTGGGGGCCCCGCACCCCCAGTCTGAGCATCCCTGCCCGACCCAACCCATGGGTGCGCTCCGGGCCCCGGCTGGGCTCCGGACCCCCAGCCCTGTCCCGGCCCCAGGGCTCGGCCCTCCCAGGTCCTTCCGACCCTCCCCACTCACCCCCAGCGCCCAGGTGGGATGCGCTGCGTCCCGCCCCCACCCCTCTTGTGCCAAACGGTCCCGCGGGAGCCGCTCTCCCCGTCCCCTCCCTCAGCCCCTGCCCCGAGCGGCGCCGGATTCTGGGCTCCCGCTGTTCCGCGATCTTCGGCCCCCTGGCCCCCTCCGAGACTTCTGACCCCGCTGGACTTCGGACACCCATCACGCCCGCCGGGATCCTGACCGTGACTCTCCAGGACTGTGCGACCCCGAGCCACTGCTCCCGGGACGGATACTGTGAAGCTGGTCTCTCTGAAACCCTCCCTTGGATCTGTGACCGGACCCATGCTCTCCGCTCCTGTCTGCATTCTGGGGGCCTTCCATAGGGTCCCTGGCAGAAAGATTTTTCCCTTCTTGCCAAAATAAAGAGGATTCGTTGAGTTTTCATCTATAACATGGCTCTTTTTATTATTTATTTATTTATTTAATTTTTTTGGTATCGGGGATCGAACTCAGGACCTTGCATTTGCGAAGCAGGCGGCGGAACCACTGAGCTAAATCCCTGGCCCTACTTTAGTTTTTTTGAGACAGGGTTTCACTACATAGCCCAGGCTGGCCTCGAACTCACAGCGATCCTCCGGTCTCCTGAGTGCTCACAGGTAGGCGCCACCAATCCCCAGCTTCTTTTATCTTTCTCTCTTACATCTTGATAGTGCTCAGTGGCGAGGTTGAGCAAGAACATTTTCAATCTCAGAATCTCAGTGTGTCCATCTGTGAAATGGCATTTGGCCCAGAAGCAAGGGCCCAGTAACCTAACCTTTAAATTGACCCAGAATCTGGGAGCACAGAAAATACCAATCATCTAGCAGAGCTGTATATTGCACCACTTCCCCTTCCCAGTCAGCGATAGAGGCGCCCTCCAGTGGCATTTTGGATTCCTCAGCCACTAGCACAGGTTTTACGTACGAGTTTGGGTTATGAGCTTAATGCTGCGCATGCGTAAATCTCCCCGCTGTTCGAGGAGGTCGCTGCTGCGCATGTGGCTGGAAACCTGGGAGGGGAAGTTTCCGGAAGCCTCCCTTTGCGAAGGGGTGGGGTTGGTCGCTCCGCAGTCCTCCCAGGGGCGCTCTGACCTGCAGCTCTGCAACTTCTCGCTTCCTCTCCGCGCGTTCTCCCAGAGCGGCCGCTGGGCTCCCGCCCCCTGGCCCTCCCAGCGGGTCTTCTCCCGGCCGCTCTGGCCCGAGAAACACCTAGTCTCTCTGATCCGGCCCATCCGGCTCGGGAGGGAGGCACGGGTGGGTGAGCAAAGGGAGTGTGCCTGTGGGATCCGGGCCCAAGCTCTTGAAGACAGGCTCCGCCCCCGGGACCAGCTCGCGCCCCGCCCCCGGCTGGAGGGGTCTGTCCAGGACGGTCCGGGCCTGGACCGTCCTGGTCCGCACCTTCTATGGAGGACCCTGCCGGGCGGTAGAGTCCGTCACCCCTGGGCACCCATCCGTCTTTAAGGTCTGTTTTGGTCTGCAGCGGCCGGAGTCTTAACTGCTGGACACTGTTTATGGGGTCGGCCCCCTTATGGAAACCCGTGTCTGTAGGGGACTCCTATGGTCCCTAGGGGTCGGCCGCATCCATGACAACCCCACATACAGGGCCTTCCATTGCTCTGTAGGGCCCACCCCTCGACCCCCAAAGGCCATTAACAGCGGTCGTTCCCTTCCGAGGAACTGCGTCTTCAGGACCTCCCCGGTGTGCAAGGCCATGCTACGCCTATAGAGGTCGCACTGGATGCCCTCACGCTGGTGGCGGGTACTCCACGGGTCCTTAAGGCCCTTCTCGTCTTAAGGGTCGAGGCGGGAGTCGACGATGGCCTTAGGCCGGACTCTGGGCGTGGCACTGGCACTGGCCTTGGCCTTGCTGGGGCCACTGTCTCCTCGGGCCCTGGCAGGGGACTGCAAGGGGCAGCGGCAGGTGCTACGGGAGGCTCCAGGCTTCGTGACGGATGGCGCAGGCAACTACAGCGTCAATGGCAACTGCGAGTGGCTTATCGAGGGTGAGTGGGGCCGCGTGGGTCACACACTCATTCACGAGTTCATTCATTTGTGCATTCATCCATTCAGTACTCTCCTAGAGCCGGGGTCTTGCCAGGGCTTGTGCCTTAAAATGCTGGACCCCCATGGTTGCAACCAACCTGGACCCTACCCTGGAAGTCTGGTGGGGGAGATGTGTGCAGACTCAGTTTGACAGGTACAAACCAGAAGCAACAGTGAGGGGAATTCAGAGTAATTCTGAGCTGGTGGCACACACCTGTGATCCCAGAAATCTGGGAGGCTGAGGCAGGAGGATGGTAATTTCCAGCCCAGCCTGGGCAATTTAACATGGTAGGGAAACCCTGTCTCAAAATAAAAATAGAAGGGGCTGGGATGTAGTTCATTGTGAAGGCCCCTGTGTTCAGTCCCCAGTACCACAAAATAGAACAAAACAACCAAAACCTGTAGCTCTAAGTCCAATCACCTGGGTTGAAATTTAGGTTCCACTTTCTGCCATCTTTGTGATTAAGCAAGTGACTTTCTTTCACTGAGATTCATCTTCCCTTACATGATAACAATAGTACTCACCTCCTAGGTTGTTAGAATTAAATAAGGTCATGTATTTAACATGCCTGATCCCTAGCACATAGTAAATCCTCAATAAACAGAAGTAAGATGGTGATTATTATATGATGTATAAAGTACTAGTTAAAGGCATTCTTTCATTCATCTGCTAGGTGTTATTTTTGCCACTGAGATATAGCAGAAGTCCAAAAGAGCCCCCCAGTCCCTGGTGACAGAGTTGGATTCTATTGGGGGTGACAAACACATTAACAGCCTGTGACAGCTCAGAGTGATCTGTGCTGGAAGAACCCAGAAGTTCTTGACCTGAGAGTGGAAGAGAGCAAAGAAGCTTTCCAAAGATGTCAGAGCTGAGACCTAAAAGACCAAGGGAAATCAGTTAGGAACATTCCAGAAAGAGGAAACAGGCTGTGCAAAGGGCCCAGCTCTACCTTTATGGGCTCCTAGTCAAAAGGAGAGACAAACCCATTCCCAGGGAGTGGGCAAGCCCAGAGAAAACATGTGATTTAGTCTGCATCTGGGCAGGACGAGTGGCACGGGTAGGAGGCAGCAGAGGACATTCTTGGCGAAGGGAACAGTCCTTTCAGAGGCCTGGAGCCAGGAGGATGAGATGCTTTTAAGCAGCCAGAAACCCAGGGTGCTGAAACATAGAGCAGAAGATAACCTACCAGCAGAGGATTCAACACGGGGAGAAAACAGGGGGCGCAAGATCTTGTGATTTTGAGCTGTACCCTGAGGGCAAAGGGAGGGAGAAGAGAAGCTCAAGGGCAGTGGCAGGAAAAGTCCTAGGCTTCACAGCGCAGTGGATGTGGGAGCTGGCCTTAAAGGAGAGGTAGGAGGCCACAGGTAAAGGCCACAGATGTGACAAGGCCTCACTTGGCAGAAAGCTTGGTCTTTATATGAGGTACCGGGGAGCTACAGAACATTTTTGACCAGAGGCAGGACTTGATCTGATTTGTTTTAGTTGATTGCTCTGGCTGCTTTGTGGGGTATGGATGAAGGCATGTTTTGGGGGGGGGTGTGTTTACTTGTACCCAGCATGGGAGCCATTCCTGTCAGGTTAAGAAGAGAATGGAATAAGAACAGAATGGGAAATATGTCATGGGGAGTATAAATCATTCTCTGGTTTTGAAGAGTCTCCAACTGGTTGGGAATGGTGGAATTGGACATGACATTCAGCCCTTAGTGTGCTCACTGAGACAGTGCTCCAGGGTAAAGGCAGAAGGAGGAACAGAGGTTTGGTGGGTGGGCTTAGGGCAAGGGGAGGAATCTGCTCTGTGTTACATAGAAGGAGCCACCTCAGCAGGGTTCTGAAACATGTATAGGAGTTTACTGGGTTTGAAATTAACCAGCATCTATGGAGACTTGAAGGAGGCTTGTGTGTCTCAGGACCCATGTGTGGGTTTGTCTGGTCTGGCTGCATAGTAGACTGAGAGATGAAGAAGGAGACAGAAGCTGGGGGAGATAGGCCCTGAGTGTCATGCTAAGTCTTTCCACGGGGACTTCAGGGGAGCCACCGGAAGATTTCAGGATTTTTAAGCGTTAGCAGGATATTGCTTTCAGCCTGGGGTAGAGGGGAGAGTGGAGACAAGAGAAAATGAGCTCTGAACTGGGGCAGAGGCAAAGTGATGAGAGGTGTGGAGAGTTTAGGAAGATGTTTGTGGAGTTTCACCAGTGAGGCTTGGGGGCCAAGTGACTGGATGTTGAGGTGCAGGCGGCATCTGGGAAACCTGAAGACTCCCTCTGTCTCCTTTCCTTCTCAGTGCCTGCAGCCACTAAGAACCAACATCTGTTAAAAAATGAGCAACCAATCCAACTGCTTTTGTGCCGTGTGCATACTTTATGTAGTCCTCAACCTCCTGGTCTTTCGTGCTTTGGAGCAGGGGTGGGGCCAGGGGATGGGTTTGGATCAGATTTCAGTTGGAAATAAGTGTGGGGGTTGGTGGAAACAGGAGACCTTGAACCCTGGGAGGAACGTGGGGAAGGCAGATGGTGAGCTGGTTTCCAGCAGGCACTGTACAAAGATGTCCTTGTTGTGAGTCCAGAAATGGAACTGTGTAGTTAGGTTGAGGCTGGTGAGATTCTGGGAGGTCTGCTCAAATGGTCCAGCTGAATGGTTCTTCTGCATTCCCCAGACCACAGCTGGGGAGCTGTATGTGTCGTCAGTCCCAGGGACTCTGGTCAGAGCCCCAGGGAGAGCTGCAAGCTTCATAGTCTTCCTTGTATGCATTTTTTCATTCTGTTGTCCAGCATTTGCTGAGCCCTTGCTGAGTGCCAAGCCTGTGCAGGACAATGTTGGGGAGGGATTAGGCCCAGGCCCAGGCCCAGGCCCTGCCCTGTGGGCCTCCTAGGCTGTAGGAGAGTTGGACCTTTGCACAGATGACTCCAGCCCAGAGGAATAAAGGTTATAATGGGCTGTGGGAACCCCCGAAGGGCTCCTAACCCAGCTGGGGGACATCAAGGAAGGCTTTCTGGTGGAGGAGGGAAGTTCTTCGGTAGGAAGGGAAGATATATTCTAGACAAAGGTAGAAGCTTGTGCAAAGGCCCTGTGTCCAGCCTGGAATAGTGACACACACCATTTTCATTTAAATGTGTTCTTCTTTGATTTTGTTTCATAATTCTAGCACCTTGGGAGATTGAGGCAGGAGGATTGCAAGTTCATCCCAGCCTGGACAGTTTAGCAACTTAATGAAACCCTGTCTCAAAATTAAAAAAGAAGAGTTGAGGATGTAGCTCACTGCAAAGGCCCTGGGAGCAATTCCCTGGTACTGTGGGGGAAAAAACAAAAAAGGCATTGTTCCTCAGAGGTACAAGCAATGGGGTGATGTGAGACAAGATTGGGATCCAAGGG